AAGACGAGGTGGAAGAAAGAGAGGAGTTGAAATAAGTTTGGCCAGCAAAGCTTTTTTTTACTTCTTCCTCCTGTTCTGGTGTTGCTGTTCTGAGTATCTCTGCTGACCCAGCCACTTTGAAGTGTGCAGCCTTTGATTTGGACAAAGATTAGGGCATTTGATCCCCAATTTAAAGAAGTTGGCACACAGGGTTGTTTTCATGGCAATACAAAAAATCACTTTGACAAAAAATCAATGGGTGATTCTCGCTGGCCTTCTCTCCTGAGAGTGAAGTGCATCATCTCTGTGTGTCTCAGTGTGGCGGCAAAGTGTTTATCAGGCGACCCACTGGCCAAGGAGATTATTATATTGACTCCTCACTCACAGTTCAGAGGGGTTCGGCAATGACAAGCATCTAGCAGTAACAGGTGTATAGAGAGCTTTCATAACTGCATGCAGATACACCAGAAGCAATCTCAGCTAAGAGCTTTAGCCACTGCAGATAACAAGGAAAGGGACATTATCGTCTTTATGGTGTCAAAGTAAGGCTAAAATCAGCTGGGTTAAAAGCTGCAGTTCATCTGAATCACACACCCAAAGTGTTCTGACTTGTCCCTATATAACCGTGCAGATAGTGTAGGTTTTATTGGATGGGGATTTGACATATCAGTCACTAAGATTGTTTGCTTTGTAGAAATTAGTTTAAGTGAAGGCAGCAATGAGTCAAGATTTTTTTCCAAATGTCATTTTGCATTGTGCACCAATTCCCATTACAATCCATAATGTATTGTGTGAGACTGGGCAATAATGACATCAATGTGTCAACCTTCAGAAATGTTGTTATAGTGATAGATAACTATCTCTTTAATAGTATTATACATTAGCTCAATAAGCAAGATTTTGACAAATGCCATTGTTAGCTTCAAACGATTGTTGCTTTAATGCGATGATATACCTTGAACTAATTTCACTGGATTAACCACCAAAAGATACTTTTTTCTGGTTAATTTACTTAAATATTATGTCTCAATCTAATTTCCACAAAGTGCTCAATGTCATGATATATATTATTTATCAACAGGGCTGGAAATGGTACGATAATACTATAGTCAAGTAAAAGTAGGGTTAGTAGACAACAAGTGACTGAATCCAGATGAAAGTAGAGAGTAGCAGGTTGGAAATAGGCGTTATCGTATACCCTTTTTCTATGCACTTTTCAGCCGGTGCATACTAAACAACTCAGTATCAATCACACAACCGGCCTCCTCAGTGTACCCTTATTGGTATCAACCACAAAAGAGAACACAACAAGCGTAACACACATTAAATAACAAGTGGGTTCAACAAGCATTCTTAAGCAAAGCTACAAAATTAATAGCTTGACAGTTCTTGTAGAATTAACAGCATAATTAAACCTCACAAAGGCATACAACAGGGACATGTCCAAACAATATAACTCCACAGGGGATGCAGCAATAACCACACAAGTAAAGAGCTGCTGTTTGTAAACTTCACACACACACACACACACACACACACACACACACACACACACACACACACACACACACACACACACACACACACACACACACACACACACACACACACACCTCTGGAGAGATACAGTGCTGGTGTATCCTCACTTGTCTGAAAATGACTGCGAGCACCGCGAAGTCCACAGTCTGCTCCAGTATCCACTCCTCCACAGCACTCAGCCTCTCAGAAGTGAACGCAGAAATGACCAGTTGTAATTGTTGATGTTTAGCATGCTAGCCACCGTGAGCATGTAGCTGGTAACGAAATGTGTTGGGTGTGTTCGATTCGGGTCACTTAGCGTAGTGGCCGGGCGGTGCAGTCAAATCACTAAATGTTTAGGAAGTTTAGGAACTCTCGCCGGTTTAACAATAATGTTAAACTTAACCCATTATGACATAATTCGTTATTGTATTACACTGTTGTTGCCTGCGTTTTTCACACTGCTGGGCCTGTCACTGTTGAGTGTTGACCACTCCCTCGCAAATAAATACCACACTGTGATACACACTTTTACATATCACCAACCCCTTGTAGACATGGAGGTTGTAGCAGAAATGTCAGAGCCAAATATCTCAATATTGGCATGCAGTCATGCAGGTCAACTGAAACTAGGTTATGCACGGCTATATAAAACCAGAGGTAACCTACAGGTTTTTAAATCAGCCATCATATGACAAAAAGCAATGGAGAATTATTGTAGAGAAAGAGAGAATAAGAATTAACCATAGGTCAGACATTGTGTCTAGTGCTTGGACTAAATTACAACTAAAGAATTAAGCCATACAAATGATAAAGAGCAACACAATTGTGTTAAGATCACATCCAAGTCCACCTACATTGCTGTGCATGCAAACTACATTGCATCTTGTACTTTAATCATTGCATATTCTTCTGTAAGTGGGAATTAAATTGAAGGGATGTGTGGTTATCAGCATGAGCAGTTTGCTGAAAGTGCATGGACAATCCCCTAGATCCCTTTTTGGAGCATTAAAAGCAATTGATTGAACTGTATAAGCCAACAGCAATTCTGTCGTCATAGCCCATTCCAATATTAGTGTTCAAGGGGAAAAGTGCATAATCCTATTCTTTCAAACCTCTTTATGTCTATTTCTGAATGATTCTCTCTCTCTCTCTCTCTCTCTCTCTCTCTCTCTCTCTCTCTCTCTCTCTCTCTCTCTCTCTCTCTCTCTCTCTCTCTCTCTCTCTCTCTCTCTCTCTCTCTCTCTCTCTGTGTCTGCCTCCTTTATTGCTGCCTAACAGCTGCTTCTCCTTTGGCCAGTCTCCATGTGAGACTGACGAGGGTGAATGGGTTTTTAATTGTACTTGTTAACGCTGCTTTCTCTATGGTTCTCCTCCCTAAACCTGCAATGACAACACTGCCAGATAGGAGGAAGTAGCAAGAGGAGGAGCAAACAGCAAGGGTTAATGAAAAACACAAGAGCCTGATCTAAGAGTGAAACCTACAAATTAAGAAGACATTGATGAGGCATGAGCTGAGCTATTTGAAGTGTATTATTCTCCTCTCTATTTTCTTTTGTTGGTTAATCCATTTGGAAGTGTTTTACTCAAGTACCTCAGAGAAGGCTAGGAGGAATAAAGCAGTGATGTTGATCTGCCACTCCCTGAGCAGAGACCACCAGCACAGCTATATCTTTAAATTCCAAAATCCTAAACAGATGAATTCAAGAAGCCTTCAAGAGGCCTGCTGCTGTAGCTATATATGCTATGCATGTGCAAAGAGAAGCCCACACACTACCATGAAATCATCCTCATTATTCAACCTTTTTCACCTCACACTAACACTTTTACATTAACAAGGTGACCTTACTGTGAGCCATTACTGCATCATGAATTGAGGAAATAAGGAGGAAGCAGCATAGTAAAGAATCCTATACTCATTAAAACTAAAACTGTATAGTCAGAAGATGGGCTTCAAAGAAGCCAGGTATAGGTCAGGTCTTCCTGTCATGAAAGATGATGGCAAAATGTAGCATGCAAACACACACGCACGATCAAACTCCTTTAGCTGTTGCCAGGGAAACCTTTTATTTAAATGTGTTCCTCAGCATTGGGATACTTTGCACCTGAAATGTACAGGTAACTAGCAAGACAAATATTTCTGTAAAAATGTCAAGCGTTGTGTCACAACAAACATACAAGAGTATTTAGACTACATGTTGCAACTACATCATACAAATAAGGGTAATGGTAAAATGTTTATCACAGCTAGAGCCAAGTCTTCAATTCAACAGATAGAAATATGTGGTGTTACAGCGCCGAGGCTGTGAAACTTATAAACAACTGCTGGAGTACATAACCCCTGAATGCTTAAAACTGAGTGCCTGCGGCATGCAGTTGGATGAGTTGTGACACCCATCTTAAGTGAGATGGATTACAGAGAGCCAGTTTGATTTGAATAACAAGCAATTTACTGGCTCTGATGTGTTACTGCAGAGGTGCAGGTCTCTGACAAGAAGAGGCCATAAGCTCCCATTACACCAGGTGTTGGGTATAAAATATCCACTTCGTGTTGCCTTCCTGTACGAATGATAGAGGGGGGGAAGTATGGCTTGCATCTGCAACAATTACTCTAGTTAAGTACCAGAGGGATTGACTTGAGGCACATGAGTTGGAATCATGTCACAAATTTGAAAACTATAGACTTAACTCGACATAATAATGAAGACTTTCACCTTTTGGACTTGAACCCCAATGACCTGTGACCTCAGTTCATAAGTCAAGCCTTTTGACTTGAAACTACTTGATACCTTCCTCAAAGTCCCAAGATTCAAAAGTAGGTTATTAAAATATGTGCAACAATTGAATTAATGTTACTTTATTTCCTTTGTCAACTAAAGTCATCTAAAGTTGCATTAAAAAACGATGAAGAACTAACGTTATGAATTACAATGTGCAAAATGTGCAGGTTAGAGTTTGTTATGAGTGCATTTTGACTTTAAACCTCATAAAACAAAGTGAATGCCTTGTGACGTGCCTGTCTTAACATCAGACTTTTTTGCAAAAACTTGAGACTTTATTGTGACTTGGAAAACAATGACTAACTAACTAATGCTAACTAGCCGCATCTTATCAGGTAAGAATTACACATTGTTTGTATAAACCCGTACAGTCTAGACATGATTGAGGTCACACCATTTTACTGGTCCTTCTGTAAAGGTTCATGGAAAACACAGTTTCCTGGGCACTGAGAGACAATTGTGTGAGAGGACGTGTCCCATACAGCAGGCGGATTGTGCCATCTTGTGGAAAGACATCAACATTACCGCCACTTTTTATGCATCACGTCCTTAATTCATTTTCCATCTGACTTCTAAAACTCTCAACAGAGAAAAATGACCATTATGTTCAACCAAATAGATTACTGATATTGATAGAATAATGTTTCTCCCTGTTCATGTTACAATTTCACATGAGACCATGCTCCACTAAGAATAATACAATCGAAATAACCGTGAAATCAGAAGTTTTGAGAACATAGACTTTATTCATTTAATATAAAATTGCAACAGAAACTTTCAAAAAAGTTGAACAGGTGCTTCAGCTAATATTCTCGGGGACAAAAGCTGGCCTGCATTGCAGACGCCAAAGGGTATTTGACTTTCACATCATCACCTTGAACAGTTCACATCATTCTGCAAATAAAGACACATCTGTACAGTAAAACTACCAGCAGAGGCCGGCCTAAGGCTGGGACAAACCACTGAACTCTTTACACTCCTCCTTCTCTGCCTTTCTCTCTTTATACATCCCTGACTCCTCCTCACACTCTTTCTTCTTCCCCCATTTTTCTCCTTCTTCTCATTTTCCTTTTTTTCAATCTTCTTTCTGACCCTTCATGTCCCTGAGCCCTTCTTCTCTGATTGGTTCCAGACGTGCCACTGAGCTCTTCTTGCCGACTCAACATTCCACAGCTGGAGACTGCACACACTCACGCACTCACACACACACACACACCTCCTCCCCTCCCCCTCTATGTAAATCCAACTCACAGAGCAAAAAAAGCAGGGTTTTTTCACAGCAGCTCTTTAAGACACCAAAAGACTGAAATGTCTCCAAAGCATTTGTGCAAGCAGAAAGACAGAAATGAACTCAGAGACTTCAGCTAAGGGAAAAAAAGTTTGGGGAAGCAAATGAACTCAGAAAAATGTGGTCATTACGCTGCACAGATGTGAAATCATGAAATGACAGGGAAGAAGAACGGAATGAGGTTTTCTTTTTACAAAATTGTGAATTTACTCATAAAAAACCAAAGTGGTGTCATTCACCTAAGGGAAGTTTTCTTTTGTGGGGCAATGGGAGGTTCAAGTTTCTTTGTTATCCCATTAAAGTAGCGAAGCATTACCAGTCGTATGCGAAGTCAAAACACTTAATGAGACCAGCATCAATACCAAGAGAGAGATACAGAAGAATATCTTACAAAAAGCCCATACAGAGAAGTGAAATGCGGCTCATACAAATGATGTATCAGAAAAATATCAAATTGCAAACCCTTTTTCAATAGTGCATACAAAGTGAATACTGCCCTTACAAATGCTGAAACAGCACCAGATGGAAAAAGAAAAAAAAAACGTTTGGCATCATTGAACAGCAATTCTACCTTAGGGGAAATGACGAAAGGCAAGTGGATGAATAACATCAAGTTAGTAGTAGAAAGTGCCTAAATGTAGGTGGTTCCATGGAAGCTGAAAGTCTGATTGTGTAGTCTACTTAAAGTCCAGTTTTAAATACTAAGGACAGAACTTAGTATCAGTAATGTGCACAATTCTAGTGTACTGCCCTTAGACGGTCACCACTAACAATGGTCCCTGTCACCCTCCACACATTCAAATTTGGACTTGTTCATCCTCTGCTTGTCTGACAGCTGGTGCTGACGTGTCAGATCATAGAGGAGGAGAGAGGCAGACTCACAAAAAACAGACATGCATCATCAGTAACAGTTCCCCACAGCAGTACAGATCATGACAAATGAATGGGAATAACAGGAATGCAATAACAACAAAAACACCCCATTGTCAGGTAAATACTGTCATGGCAAAACAGAAACATTTAAAAAGTGAATTTGTTCCTGAAGAAAACTGTGACTGTGTATTTAAAGGACAGAGCCAAATGGTGTCGATCTGTGATTGTATGTTTTGCTCTGTATGTTTTTCAATCAAAAAGGGAACCACAAAGGAAATATACACCAACAAAAGCTGACATTGGCACCAGAGTAAATACTGTGGAGTTATTTCATAAAAAACGAGTAATGTTGAATTATCCTGCTTCCAGTAGATCCATCCATGGCCTTCATGAATGCTTTTGGGGAAAAGCTGTACATATGGAAGGATCTGTGGTTTCCTGGAGAGATATTGCTAGGGCTGTTAAGTCTTGGCAAAAGAGGATTTGGAAGGCGGGAATTCAATTAAAAAATTAAACATCTGCTGCGCTCTACACAGCCCTTCAGCACTTTAAAAATCTTTTTTTGGTTTCAAATGAGACAACAAAAGATCAGTCAACAGTCCACACTTTGAATTCAGCCTCTCCTGTGTCATGGTCCTACTCCGCCTGCTCGTTCAGCTCCATGTCCGACACCAGGATGTTCTTCTCTACCTGCTCAGCAAGGTTGGAGTTGGTGCGGCTGTACCGGGCCCCTTCATAGGACCCCCGGGACCCGATAGTTCGCCGGCGGTAGAAGTAGAGAATGCCAACGATCAGCACCAACAGCACCAGGGACGTCACAATGACAACAATCAGAGTGGGCAGGTGGTCACTGTCCACTAGGGAGAGGTGGAAGATGTAAAACAGGATTAGTTTCAATAATCCACTTTCAGGTGAAATAATTTATTATTCACCCCGAGTAAACATACTTACTTGTGACAGTTGCGGTTTCAGCACCTGAAAATAGTAGAATTGACAGTGAGTAAAATTGGATCACTTCAGTTTGTTAGTCTAGTGTTGTTAGTGTGGGAGTGGTATAACATACATATATGATTAAGAAGGAGTGGAAAGATTTAGATCACTTTACTGTATTTATATAGCCCCACCTATTAAAATATATATATTTTGGAGTCCCAAAGAGTATGTTTTTTCTTTGATTGATTTGGTATTTGGCATTCATTTTAATTGCACTTCATCTCATCATGTGTGTTTTCCTGTGCCACTGTTTCTGCAACCTTACACACATGTGTTTTGTTCTGTTGCTGCTTCATTTTTCACTTATTTTCTTTCCACAATACAATCAAAATAGGGATGTATGCGTCTGTGAACCTCTTTCAATTGATAAGCCAATATTTTTCTCTAGCTTCATCAGCATTCATGAAACCTTAAAAATGGTTTAATTTGCTCACTATAGTGGTTCTGAGAATAACTTCCCCATGGCTATACTGTAAGTGTATGCTTACTTCGAGGGCGTTTGCAGATGACTCCATGTGTTCGGTTTCTGCATGAGCCTGGCTTCCACAGGCCGCTGTTGCTCTGGATCCAGAAGCAGGAGTTTGGAGATAGAACAGAGAAGGCGACATCATGTACCTCCCAATTGGTGTAGGACATCTCTGTGTCCTCGGTCCAAACCAGACCTCTACCTGCAGCAGGAGCAAGCACACACACACACACACACACACACACACACACACACACACACACACACACACACACACACACACACACACACACACACACACACACACACACACACACACACACACACACACACACACACACACACACACACACACACACACACACACACACACACACACATTCAGTGGAGTTTCAAACACATTTAAGCAGAACTGTTTCAATAGTTTTATCTTAAGACAAGATTAGTTACATCCTGTTCTAGAAGAGCATTAGTCTTAATTAGGTTTCCTGTATTTAATTAAGACGTTTCATGATTATTCTATTAAAGAAATTATAATCGATCAGGTAAAACTTTCTGACTTATCTGCAAGAAGAATTAAAAAAAATCTTTAAAAGCAGCCTTAAAGGTGGGGTAGGTAATTTTGGAGAAACCAGCTCGAGTGCGCTAGGATTTGAAAATACACAGCCGGAAAAAATCTGCCACTTCCTTACAGAGCCCCTCCTCCAATACACACGAACGCGCACATGACCAATGAGGGCACAAGATAAGTGTGTGCACAGATGGAAGGCTGACAGGCAGGTAGGCCATCCAGTTATTTTAGCCGGGCCGGCTAAAATGATTGGTCGTGCTTTTTACAGTACTACGGCTTCCACAGATGAATTTTTTTTATAGATTTTTGTCAAAGCACTTAAGATATTCATTGCTATCGGGATGTTAAGAGCATTCCATGGAATATAACAAAAAGTGTATCTCGAGCCGGTTTCTCAAACTTACCTACCCCACCTTTAAATGAATAACCTTGGATGAAAACAACTTTTGAAAATCTGAAGGTTAATAAGTTCGCAGCTGTAGAGGGTGATGTAACTGTCTGATGCTACATTGCAGGACCTTTAACACTGATGCCTAACCAAGCTCCATGCGCCTGCTCTGCATAGCTCTGGATGTGTTCCCACACAAATCCGTTTTCTGTCTCGTCCAAGATAGAGAGAAGTTCAGCTCCCACTAGAAGAGAGAAAAGGGAGAAAATAAACACAGAGAATTAACAAAAGAGAAAATGGAATTGATCATGTAAGGATGTCTAACAACGGTGCAGACAGTTCAGTGAATAGCTGTTCTAAATTTAGACATATTGATGCATTTTGTCAATTATGTCTGCAGTGCAGAAGGTCAGAAGTGTTGCACTTAATTGGCTTTCAGGATCACGAGCTGTACGGGCGAGGGAACTTATGAAACTCTTTCCTACCTTTTTTACAGGATGTTCGTGCATCCTGCTGCAGTCTAAGACTTTGCAGATTAAAGGCATAACAGTTGTGTCTGAAAGGCACCCACGCCCACTCTCCCAGAGAGTGGGGGCACTGGCCAGGGAAGACCCAGTCGTGCTGCACAGGGTCATCTGGCAAGGAGAAAAACAAAATAGTTAATTACATTTAATGCAACAAACGTTTTTTAGACTGCAAAATAATAAGACAGAATATGCTGTAATATGGGTGATAGTAAAAAAGTGTCACAATTCATAATAATGTTTAGGGCTGATATTGTTTGAGGGTGCACTGGTAAACTGTTGGTTTAGATCTGTATATTGGTTTGGAGGGGGTGAAAAGGTAGTACAACTTTGTGTGTCTATTCATTGTTAAAACTGCGTATCCTTTGTTTTAACTTTGCATTTCTTGAGTCAGTAATAAATGGGGAAAATATTTAGTGGATGCGGACATGTTATCAGAGAAAATGACAGGTAAAGTGTTTTCAAACAACAGCACTGTGTGTGGCTTTATGGTGATTTGGTTTGTGCATTTTTGCAAAATTGCAATTGATTTGTATTAATTTGTTACATTACAAACGTACCACTCATTTGACAGATAGCAGCGTCCAGTTTATCATCACAGGAATTCATAGTCCACTGCCCAGTAGTGGTCATGTGACCGCATCCAGCTGTCTGATGCGGCTTCCCATATTTCCAGTTTGTATACGACACTTCTTCTTCACCCAGCCAGGTGAATCTCGGTCCCTGAGAAAAAACAAGTTGCTCTAAACAGTCTCCTCAGACAGGACAATAACTTTGCAACTGTGTACCTCTAAACGTCTTAACATGTGTCTTAATATTATAATCAGACACACGGTGAGGTAACAGGCTCACTCCATAATTGTAGAGTCCTATCCATGCGGGCCGGTGCAGGCTGTTGATCAGGAGTGTGAGGTAAGCCTGCTGGTAGGGATCCTTCAACATGGCCAGGGTCCCATTCAAAGATTCACAGAGGTGCAGGGCTCCGATCCAGTCCAGATGCTTCTCCACAACCCGGTAAGTCACTCCACCCAGCTCAACAGGCATTGACAGGGAGGCAGGGATAAGGACCGGGGCTGGGGGCAGACCTGAATCTGAAGAAATGACAAAGTTGCACAGAATGGTTCAAGTCAACTTCTCTTTGTGGTCCAAATTCTCTACACTTTTTTAAAGCAGAAAACCTTTGTGGACATCATACCTTGTTGCCTTTGACAGATGAAGCCATTACTTTCCATCTCACAGGCTCGGGAGGCCCACATCCCGGTGTTCTTCTGTGGGTTCCCATGAATCATCACCACACAGTTTCCCTGGGAGGACAGAAACATTTTCAGAACAGGAACAGGTCGAGGATAACATCACAACGTGTGTGCTTATAGGCGAGTGTTGTGGGAGTACCGGGGTCCTGTTGTGGTGTGGTCCGCTGTTGTCGAGGGGCTCTCCAGGAGCCCAGTTGGTGTAGCTCAACAGGCCTGGCTTGGCCCACTGGAAATGACCTTTAGAGTCTGAGGTCAGACCCACCCATAGGTCAACACTGGCATTTTGAAGCAGGGTGGTGATGAAGGCTGAGAGAGGAATTGATTGCATCAGTGTGAATGTTGGCAGTGAGACTCAGTGAGACTCAGTAATGAATAAAGCGATTCCAATTTAAACTAAAATGACATTTGGAGTGCACAGAGGGATGCAGCAATGCAAACGGTTGTCTGTCAGTTAGCCGACAACATAATCTGCTTGGCAGGGTCAATAAAAAGACTGATGCTCTAACATACTACATCAATCTGATGCTCACCATGTCAGACCAGACATTTATCTACTAAAAGTAGCAGGATCTGAAAGATGAATAATGTACTATCAAGTAGAGAGATGAATTCATGAACCTTTGTTTAACATTGTTCTGGATGTTTTGTATTATGCTGTTATTACCTTGCTCCAAATGATTGGAAACCACTGCCGGTACACCTCCCTGTGTTTCACATTTCAACTTGGTTGCAGACCATGTGAGTCGGTGTGACTGATCAAATGCTCTGAAACACTGCAGAAACACCACAAGTCATTGCAATCATTTATTAATTTAATATTGATCAGGTTGGGTTGAGTTGGAAACAGAGCAGGTGCCTGAAAACAACAGTTTTCTTACCTGCCTATATGATATACTTCTTTGATGCATTTGATACATCCTGAATCCTTTATATTTCTATATACTATCATTAACCAAGCAATGTACTATTTATAAACTCACATTCTTACATTTTGTTCAGTTGGACTTTGCACACACATTGTTTAAAGTACAGTAAGTAAACAAGATAACACGTACATAGTCAAAGTTGAGAACAAATGCAATACAAATATGTGGGTACCACTTTACAATAAGACTACCCTTATAAAGGATTCATAAAGGGTTTATAATTAGGTTATTAATTAGGTTGTAAACACTTTATTAATCATTAAGAACCATTTATAAACCAGTTCTAACATAGTTTTCATACATCAACACAGGCTCACTATTTGGCAAGATGACTAAGCCTTATATTGGCTACCTAGCTTACTTCGTCTTCTTCATCAGCCATCATCCTTGGTATCTGTGGTTCACTGAGTTGATTCTCCCCCCATCCATCTTGATGTTTCTTGGCATCTCTTTATGACCATTTATTTATTAGTTACTAACATTTATAACTGCCAAAAGGGAGCCTTGTAAAGTGTAAAACACATTTCCATTTTTTAATGAGTTACTACCATTTATAATTTGTTTAAGTCATATTAAGCCTTAAAGTTATGCATAAATTAGGGCGTGGTCACATTGAGTGACAGGTCATTCCAGTGACTGCTGTTGTTAGCTTTCTGTCTCTCTGCTAGCAGCTTCGTGATGCTACAGCGGCTCCGCCTGCTCAGCTCATCCGGGGAACATAACTTGAACTCGGCCGTGTTTGTTGTGCTGGTGCCTTGTGGACTATTCTTCATGCTTATATCGAACTATTGTGACTCGCTTTGCGGTTAAAACAGACGGTGCATGAATGCAGTTTTGCGGTAAGTGAAATTTGAGTACTTTATTTATGTTTTGCTTATGTTTTGAGTCAGCTAACGTTAATGAATGTTAAGGCTTGGGTTAGCATGTAAGCAAGTGGTAGCTACATCTGTGCTAACGATGCTAATCGTAGCCTCCAAGTTAAAACGTAATAGAGAAGTGTTAAGCATTAAAGGTGGGGAAGATAATTTTGGAGAAACCAGCTCGAGTGCGCTAGAATTTGAAAATACACAACCGGAAAAAATCTGCCACTTCCTTACAGAGCCCCTCCTCCAACACACACGAAAGCGCACATGACCAATGAGGGCACGAGATAAGTGTGTGCACAGATGGAAGGCTGACAGGCAGGTAGGCCATCCAGTCATTTTAGCCGGCCCGGCTAAAATGATTGGTCGTGCTTTTTACAGTACTACGGCTTCCACAGATGAATTTTTTTTATGGATTTTTTGTCAAAGCACTTAAGATATTCATTGCTATCGGGATGTTAAGAGCATTCCATGGAATATAACAAAAAGTGTATCTCGAGCCGGTTTCTCAAACTTACCTACCCCACCTTTAAGTGGGATAATACTGTAGAATAAATGGCTTTTGTTTGAGGTTGGTAAAATAAGGTCATTCTTGTAAGTTAGAGAGATATTTTATTAGGTAGATAACTTTAAGCATTGCTAAGGTCAATTTAAATTAGCTATGCTCGATTATGTAGACAAGCTAACGTCAAAGTAGTGTTGAAGAGCGGCGTAGTGTATGTGAAATTAACCTCACAATAAGATGTGTGTATATTACAAATAATAATGTCATATTTCAAAATGATTACTTAGATATTACAATATGGTTGGTTGAGCTGGAGTTCATTATTAAGCTTACATGTTAACGTCACAGTCATATCTGAAGAACGAACCCAAAACTTGTTCTTTTTATTAATTGTATTACCAAATTGGTATCAAATAAATAGTAAGCATTGGTAATACCTATGCTGATAAAGTAAACTATTTTATTTTAGTATTTATGTCTGGGAGAAGGTACTGTACCCAGTTCCTGTGTTTGGCAGTTATAGACTGGGCTTTCTTGTACAAGAGAATAACACAAAATAAAAAAAATCAATATGGACCATTACTGTATAATTATCCTTAAATTATGTTATACAATGCACCTAATAAACAAGTATGGCATTTTGAAACATGATGTGCAATAACTTTTACTGTAAATTGTGTGCATTTTGTTGTTAACTAAGATGATATATTTGTTGTCAGTATGCACGTCGTGGACGCTTTGGACATATGGGAGTTAAAGACAAAAGGCGGAGACTAAAGTGTTGAAACTAGTGGAGAAACGATCAAGATGCCACCTTGTCCCTCTGATTAGACGGCATGTTAAGTCAGGAAGTAGCATTATTAGTGATCAGTGGAGGGCATACAGGAGAGTGCTGAGGAACATGGGGTATAACCACTACAACATAAACCACAGCAGGTGGTTTGTGAACCCCCAGACTGGCAGTCATACCCAACATAATGAAAGAGCTTGGTCGACCGTCAAAGGACATGTCCGTAGACTGAGAGGAAACCATACAGAGAGTTTGTTGGAGGAACACCTCAAGGTTCTTGAATGGTCATCTTGGCTTGGCTCTGCTCACACTGATGGACTGCTTGGACGCTTGTTCAAGGATATACACAATGCCTTTCCAGTCTGAGTACCATTATGTCTAACCAAGTCTTTCATTTATGTCTGAGAAAAGCTTTTATGTTTAAATATGTGTATCAGTCATACTAAACAGTCATTACTTTGAGTCCTGATTTTCTTCATGTGTGAATAAAATGTTTTGCTTGGCTCTTTTGCATCTTTGCATTTCATGCGAAAAATGTGTATTAGGTCAGCGTGAATGTTATAACTCATTCATAAATGGACATGTGTATTAAACTTAAAAACAACGCACCCTTTCAGTAGTTATAAATGTTAGTGTCTCATCAATAGATGGTGATGTGTTTCACACTTTACAATAAGGCTCCCTTTTACCAATTATAAATGGTAGTAACTCATTAATAGATGGTGATGTGTTTCACACTTTACAATAAGGCTCCCTTTTGGCAGTTATAAATGTTAGTAACTCATTCATAAATGGTCATAAGAGATGCCAAGAAACATCAAGATGGAAGGGGGGAGAATCAACTCGGTGAACAACAGATACCAAGGATTCTGGCTGGCTGATGAAGAAGACGAAGTAAGCTAATATAAGGCTTAGCAGTACAGATAAATGTGGGCTCACTATTTGGCAAGCAACCGGTCACAGTTGCCATGTTTATCTCATGTCTTATAAAAGCTTATTAATGATTTATAAAGTGTTCACAACCTAATTAATAAATTAATTACAAACTATTCGTAAACCCTTTATAAGGGTAGTCTTATTGTAAAGTGCTACCAATATGTGTAACTGTTACATGAGTACGTTTGTGGAATAGTTTTCAAAAGGAAGTGAACTTTTGTAAAACAAATTATATTCAGAACATAAATATTCAGAATGAGATTAATAAAAATGATAAAACCCCCAGTATGATCTCCTAGTGTGTTGAAGCTCTACCTTATGTTGGAAGGAAGACCATCCGTCAGGGCAGCCTGCAGGTGGGTGTGGGATTGAGGGGGTTGGAGGGATGGTGCCTGTGACATTCACTCTCTTACAGATGTAGGGAAGGTCAGAGTGGCACTTCTGATCAGCCCAATCTGCTGTTTGGGAGTGGAAAATACACGTTCATGTATGTGTATTCAAATATGTCTCTTGAGGTCTCACATTTCGGCTGTTCTTACCTTTGTTGGCAGACATGTGGATACACCTGCGATCACGGCTGACTGGGTGGGGCCTACCAAGGGCCCAGGACACGTAATTGAGCACCGAGTGGTCAGACCAGTGGAAACGGCCATCATTCTCGTAGGTGTGAAGCCCCAGCCACCAGTTGTCCCCATGTGCCTTCGACATCTAAACGTGAGATAGAAACTGTGAAAGGCGTGTTGAGGCCTCACAGCCTTTAAGTCTGCCATGCAGAATAAAGACAATAATTACACAGACCACAAACAGGTTGCTGCTTGTAAGGTATTTCACAGAGTTTTGCCCTCGTTAAACAGAACTGCCTGCTTAACCACAAGTAATTATTTGCATTTTTGGATAATGTCATCTCGTATAAACAATTATGAACTTTTTGATAAAGTGTGCAGTGCCTTGCTTAAAGTGTTGGCGAGAAAAGCTTCTTCCTCAGCTGAGTGGACGGAGGCCAGCGAGGAATCAAACCAGGAGCAAATCCTCTGGGCCTGGTCCCAAGTGCTGCGATGGTCAAAAAGTCTATATTCAGCCTCCTGGAAGCCAACCCACTCCAGGGAAGTGCTGCCTGACAGGGGGGAGAGAAGAAAGATAGATAGTCATGAGACATAATAGGAAGGTTTAGATATAAGCCCTTTGGAAATCAATTCAGTATGCTGAGAGAAGTTCAAAGCTTAGAGAAAAACACTGACCTTCAGATTCTTCTGGTTCCGCTTCAACAGTACCTGAAACAACACACATCATAGATTTCATTCATGAAATACATAATGTGGGAGACTCTAAATGCAATGAATGAAAACTGGAAATCTTGAGAGACTTGTATCAGAGTGATGCTATGGGTGGAGAGGGTATATATATAGATTATTAGAAAATGTTCAGTGTGAAAACGAATACAAAAATTACTAATTCTGGCAGATGATTTAAAGGTAAAGTGTTTAACATTTATACATTCAAATGTCTAAAAATGTCTAGACCTTTGTTGAAAATGTTTTGAGTTGTTTAATGAAATGATCCCAACAATTTTCAGATTAAGATGAATCCCATATTTGTTAACTGTTTTTTTTTTACGATAAGTCACCAGATATGGAGTTGTCATCCTTTTGCACATGCGACAGCTTGAAGTTGTCTGCCAGAAGCTGTCTTAAATTACCATTTTATCCAATTTGAGCAACATTTTGACTGTACACTTTTTTAGATCTTGGTCGTTTTGACTTTATATTTAAAAATGTTTATTCAATAAACCTAAGTTAATCAAAAAGGACTTTCAGCAAACATTTCTGGATGGTTCGCAGCTTCTCCTCTTGTGTCTACTGTTGAACCGCTGATTTGTAAACGTTTTTACCATTTTCAATCAGTAAGTCCATTGATTTTGTAAAAGAGAAAACATCTGTGGATAATTTTGCTCCTGATAAAAACCTACTGAACGATGAACAATGAAAGACTGAATTGTCAATGAAGCTCTTTTATTATTGTTTCGATTAAGAGAATCCAAATGACATATTATGTCTATTGTTAATGTTCTTATACAGTGTAGGACTTTCAGAATAAGGCCAAAGAAGTGTTCCAGTGTTGTTTTACCTCGAGGGATCTTGCAGATCCAGTCTAACTCAGAGTCACAGTGCATGGCCAGCCAGGTCATGGTGCCCAGGTCTGCTGCAGCACATTGCCGGACATTGTAGTAGTAGCGGCCGAAATTCTGGTATGTGAACTAAGACACAAGCAAAGAGTAAACAGATTATGCTTCAAAATTATTTTACTCAGCATTCGTACCAAGGTTGCATTTTGTCTTTACTCACAGCCACTCCATCACTCCACTTCCAGCTGCCGTTGTCCATCGGGTTTCTGCGATTCAATCCAATCCAAAACCAGTGCTGCTCATCCTCTGACTCCCTGTGGACCACATCATCATCATCACCATCATCATCATTGTCATCATCACCATATCACACCACATGCCCCCCGGTCAGAGAGGCACACCCACCCAAAGGCCTCGTGGAGGACCTGCAGGACAAAGTGCTCCTCCTCGGGGCTGCTGATGCTCAGCAGGTTGGCTCCATGTCTCCGGCAGGTGAGATGAGCCTGCAGCCAGCTCAGCTTCTGTTCCAGCTGGGAGGAATGGAACACCTGCACACACGAGATAAAGGTGTTATATAGATCTTAAATGAAATGCAATACTAGTGTAACAGCATTCGAATTAGCAGTTGTGTCACTTCAACTTTTGTGTCTACACTGTAAAATATTACCATGATTTCACAATATTTAGCTGTAATATTTTACAATAAATTACTGTTTTACCACTTTACAGTCTTTACCTGTAATGTTCACAATATAATACTGTAATTTTGAATTTCACAGTGAAATCAATGCAGGCACAGTTAATTACTGTGAATGTACAGGATAAATTATTACCAGGATTTCACAACATGTTACTGTATTATTTCATAGTAAAATACTGTATTCAGACCATCCTCTGTGATAACACAACAAATTAAGTGATTTTCTTGCTTTTATCGCTCTTGCTTGGCTTAAATACTAATTTCTTTCTTTGGTGCAGGTTTTACTTAAATTGAAAGGGGCACAGCTGCATGTGCCTTAAAATAAACGATGCAACATATAAATCTATGTAAAATTGAAATTGTTGTCTTGACTTATTGTTTTCAGGTGCTTCCTGGGCATTAATCCTGAGACGGGCTCGAAAGCCAAAAAGAGGCATGGCAATTTAAACCCCTATGTCAGCACATTCTTCAGAAAAATGGTTGACTTCGAGTGGATGTCTGTGTAGACATGTGTTACGTGCTGCCCTTCTTGTTTTCTTTTCTGTCTCCCTACTGCGCATGTTAGTGCGCATGGGGTGCACCTGGTCTGCCCCTGGCTCCGCCTCTGCCCAGGTGTTCCTAATTCCACTCAGCCATGTATATATAAAGAGAAGCTGGAGGAGAAGGAGGTCTCGCCTATCCTAACGCCGGGAGACACTCTCCATACCTCTTTGCCATTTTGAGCTGTAGGCCATATTTTTGCAGATGTGTTTATGTTTAGCCTGGAGGACCTGGTAGTCCAGTTTTCGCGACTTTATTTTGTTTCCCATAGGGTTTATAATTGATTTCTGGTTAGGGGGGGGGGGGAGCTCTGGGTCCTACGGTCCATGGTCTGGCTGGCTCGGGTTCCCTCCTTCTGTTTGTTCCTTTTGGCCAGTCCTCCAGACCTCTTTTTGTTTCCCGTTTTGCTTGTGTGAGCAAATGGCTGATTATCAATAAATGCTCGTTACCAAGTACCGGTTATTGCGTGTATTCTTTCATGTTGCGGGTCTCAGTACGAGCCACTACCGCGGAGTAGAGGTTGGGGTCGTATAACATGTCCAAGACACTGTGAAATGTACTTTGCACTTCAATGGAGTAATACAAAGTTAAAATTGGCATTTTCTTTTTCTTTGTTTTTCTTTGTTGATTGAGCTGATTGAATTGTGTAGTTATGGTCAAATCCCAGTTAACTAGTCAAATTTCGTATTATTTACATTTTTATATTTACAGTAAATTACTGGCTACTGTGTTGCATTACTTCTACAGTAAAAGTGTGAAAATACAGGTAATTACTGTAATTTATGTACAGCAAGGTACCATAATACCACAGCTCTGTACTGCTATATCACAGTAATTCCATGGGCATGGCAACTGTAAAGTCACAGTATTTAGCTGTACTTTTATTCTAATTTACTGTAAAATATCTACAGTAAATTACTGTGAAATATTTACAGTTAATTACTGTGAAATATTTACAGTTAATTACTGTGAAATATTTACAGTTAATTACTGTGAAATCCATGCAACTAGTAGCCAGTAATTTACTGTAATTTTACAGCCAAACATTTTACAGTGTACTACTTATTTTTTGTTATAGACTTTAATGATTTCAATTATCCTTTTTTAAATTCTACACTATATTTTTTTAGGTAAAGTGTATGCATAGCAGCTCACAATATTAATGAGTAACTCATTGGATCAAGGTTTTGGTATTGGTTCTGAAAATATTCACATTTTCATTAACTATCTATACATTATTATAAGCTTTGAAAAATACACTTTCAGATATGAGAAATGTTAAAGAAATGATCCTGACTAATGTATTTATGAGATATATTATCCTGTTTAGTTATGAAAGACAGAATATTGCAAGATTTGTTTCAGCATTTCATAACGAACACTTTTAGAGTTACTTAATTATGAAGTCTATCTTGTTTTTAACTATGAAGAAGTTGAACTTATGCTTCTAAATCACATACAAAAATAGTTATTCCACTTTGTCAGATGTTTACACAATAAAATGAGAAAAGCTACAATTGATCTATTACCCAGTTTAGCCATTTAAGTCTAACACTGAATAAATGAAAGACTAAAAACCAAAGTGTGCTGGAGTGACCCTGTGAAACACCTTGTAGCAGTAGCGCAGGTTGCTGTTGCTCTTCCAGCCGCTGGGACAGGCGCCGCTGAGGCTGGGGGTGGGCTGCGGGGCGGGGGGCTCGGGGCTCAGAGACGTCTCTTGGTTCTGACGGCAGATGAATTTCGCCTTTGATGACGCACACTCCTTCACCTCCCACAGACCTGTTGCGGAGCCCATCGCCATGGAAACGCATCCGCCATGGACGCTGACTGAAATAGATAAAGATAGAGGGATGAATGTAAGTAAGTGGAGAGAATGAGGCGTCCATGGTGAAACTTGTGGAAATAAAGAAATGTAAAAGATTTGAGGAAAATGTATGTTAAGAGTTGCATGTTAGATTCAATTCTCCAAACAAGGGCAATGTTTCCTTTTTTAGGTTTTTCTTTCTCTAACCTTCCTTATTGATCTTAGTTATGGATCATCTTTTTTCTAATGGTGTGTACATCAGGAATAGTCTTCTACATGATGACATTTTTTTGTTTAGTTATAACTCACACCAAAGTCTTTCACAGCATAGTCTACTAAAGCATCAAAGAGCAGCTATAGTCCCTGCTGAGTTCAGACAGCTTATATTTTTTGGATCTATCTCTGACTTGAAAGCCAGAGGTCTCGCCCACAACTGGTTTTTGAGTCAGCTAGTCTGCTTTGGAAATGACGGTAAATCCAAGATCCCTGATAGCCCGAATTGTGCAAGCAGTGTTCGCCAGTGTGCTGACTCATTCCTCATACCCCTTGCTGGGACTTTTTCTTAACTGCTGATCATTTTCATAGATTTGGATCTTACCAAGTCTGCTTAACAGCCAAATCAGGATACCACGATATGGTCATTCGAAGTCTATATTTTGGCTAAAGATGAAACACCTGGGACCTATCCAGTTTCTTATTAATAGATTAAATTCAAAATTGTTATGATTATTGACTCAGGTTTAAAAAGAACTCTTCACAGCATAAAGAATGAAGAAGTGAAAAGGCAGTGGGTGGAAAAGATACTGCAACAATCCCAGTATGGTCATCCTGCATCCTGTACACATAATCAGATCATTTTGCAGGTCATGAACAATAAAAATAATCACACACTCACTCAATAAGTGACTTACCTGGTTGATCACGATTCCAGTTGGTGTAAGACACCTCATCCCCGCTGAGCCAGTGGAAGGAGCCGGGGCTGGTCTGGTCATGGAGGCCGATCCAGAAGGAGTCTCCAGAGCGACCCAGCACCAGGCTGTTGGCGAAGGCCTGCTCGAACCTTAGATTTACAGGGTTTCGTTTAGAAAGGCAGCACTGACTAAACTGATATCTGTGTGAGTGGGACTGTAAGTGTTCCTACTTCCTACCTATTGGTAATGGTGACGAGGGCGGCTCCATGTTCCTCACACGCCTTCTTGGCTTCATCAAAGATAGACAGATCTTCTCCCACCCAGTAACACGCTGGACTGTGCCACTTCCAGCCCTGTGGAGAGAAGGGAGATTAACAGGATATGGACAATTTAAAAAATAATAAGTTAACCTTTCAAAGAATAGAATTTTACAACGCTTCTCAACACTCTAACCGAGAGGTGTTTTCAATAGTTTATTCGGCTTAACAAGTAGAATAATTCTCTCAACACATGAACAGAAACTTCATCCATCAGTTTATCGCAAACACTTAAAATCATCTGCAATTACATGAGTTTTAATGGACAACAGGGACATTTAAAAAAAAATCTTTGTAAAGTTACTAAGGCTGCCAGGATAATGTTGTGGAGCAAAACAAATACAACATTTTCCACTGAGATGTATTGGTGAGGAAGTATAAAGCTACAATAAATGGAAATGTTCAAGTAAAGTACCTTGATGTTGACAATGTACAATACTTGAGTAAATGTACTTAGTTTCCTTCAGCCTCTGCTTTACAGAGGTAAAACCATAAATGATTCACTCAGAAAATCCTTAAAAGTCACAAAGGGTCTATTTAAGCCAGTCAAGTGTATGGCAAATACAGAACAATAAAAAGAACACGTCTAGGCATGCAGAAATAACTTTTCCCTGGCCTCGATTCCTGCTGACAGCTCAGACCTACTGTAGCTGCGGACGTGTACAGATGCAGAGCGCTGCCAACACGCAGGAGGTCAGAGGAGGTGACATTTAGCAGGAGAATGATAATGAGAGACAGTTAATATATAGCATTGTGTGAATAAGCCCAACCTCAGGCTTTTTGCGCAACCACGTTTGGCATCTAGTCAAAAACCTCAAAGATTACAGCTGGAGAGGTCTGATCCGTTCAAACTCTTTTGTTGACTCTCTTTATTGTCCTTTCTTTCCCTACAGTCACTACATCAGTGTTGAATTATAGAATTCTTATAACATGCCATTATTAATAACTACAGTATAACATGTTACATCATCAAGACAAATTGCACCTAGAATCTATTACAATATAGTAATGCTATGAGACACCACACCTATTTCCACCCATATGTCCATTGGGTATTTGTATTATCCTTCACATAAATAACACAGAAGCTGATTCAATTAACAAGTCAATTAAATGATTTGAAAATAAGCAATATATAAGCCTGGCCTATGCAGCAAAGAAGCATTGTCTTTTGTATGGAAAGTGCATACATTAACGGTCTCTACCCACTCCTGAGTGAAATATCTGTCTCCATAGCCGCTAAATAATGTATAACACATCAATATGGCTCCACGGTAACTGGGAGAGACATTATCAATTTATTCTGAATTTAAACCGATTCATTGATTAATCTAGAAAGTAATTGGAAGGTGAGGGGAGGCTGTGGCTCAGTGGATAGTGTGCTGGACTTCAAATCAGTGGATAGCAAGTTCGAGTCCCACTGCAGCCAGCATGTCGTTGTGTCCCTGGGCAACACACTTCACCCCAAATTGCTCCTGTGGGGATTGTCCAGAGTAATGAATGTATGTAAGTCGCTTTGGATAAAAGCGTCTAACAAATAACATGTAATGTAATGTAATGTAATTGGAAGGTTAATCGATAGCAACCCCTTTCTCATTGTTTTCAGTTATTATAAATCCAATCTCGGAACTGTCTCTTTAAAAACAGAAAATAAAAAATCCCCAAAAATGAACACAACCAACAAAGCTCACATTTAAATGATGGTAGGGGCCCCCTGGTGACTGAGGGGGTCTTAGCAGCTGCTAACGCCGAAGGCTGCCGCTGATTAGTGTTGTCTCATCACTCTGTTTATTCACACATGAAGAAACTGAGTTATCCTTATGATAAAATCTCTATCTTTGGAAGCAGAGACGCAACACTTGTATGATGAGTGACTGCTCCAGTGAGTAAATAAAATGCCAACATTACAGTGATGAGCAATCCTTTATATTTGTTGAGTAATGAGCCGAGTGCATGATGGGGTATGTGATTTGGGGATCATGTGGTGTAATGTTGCTAAAGCAGTCAGCGGGCTTTCTGTCGTTGTTGTTTCACATGTTGCGTGAACTGATCTCGTCTGCTCGATACAGAGCAAACTGCCACGGGGCCCTGCAGCATGTGCCATGCCAAATGACCCTCATCACATTACCACCCATGGTGTCCTGCTCTCCAGGGAGAGGGAAGATTCATTACACCAAACAGTCCGTACAAAGACCTTTGTTAAATGTGACAGCTGAGAAACAGCATGACTCATCAAAAACAATTAGCAAAAATATGACATTGTTGAAGTGTGTAAAGAACACAAACACACACTTTGTTTGCTTCTATCCCTATATGTGATAACATATGTCACACTTTACAGGAATAAGGACAGGGAAACGTACTTGGCCAGTGACCATAGAAAACAGTGGTCAGGTACAGATAAGTCAGGTATGAGAGGCTTAAAGTCTCATATGGAATGCATTATGGTCCGGGAAATCAGAGACAGATGTAGATATATTCTCCAGATGGGATTTTGTTCATCATGTTGGCACAAGCCGTGGTGGTACAATTTGTTGTTTGTACTGACCGGACTTGTTGAAGGAAGACACAATGACAATTAAAAAAATATATATATAATGATTTTTCTTCTTTTTTTTTGGGGCCAATGGAAAATATTTCAAAGGAAAGAGTGTGAGTGTGCAGCGTCAGAGTGTCTCGGCTGCATGCTCACCGTCTTAATGGATTGATTTATATTACAGTTAGAGGCCGGGGGTGGACTGGTGGACCAGTGGACTGAAAAGTGAGAGATGAAAGAGAGTTCTGGGGAAGGGGGTCAAAGGTGAACGGCTGAAATACTAAATAATAGTTATGTTCCCTGCTACACTACAAACTGCCAGCAGCTGGAATAAGAGAGAGAAATGCTAGAGGACATCAGATTCTTGTGGGAAGAAAAGAAAAAAAAAAGAATCAGTAATCTAAAGTAGTGCTTCTCAAATGGGGTACTTTGAAGTACTGCAGGGGGTACAAGATATTTAAAACAACATTTTAATAAAAATAAATGTTACTATGATAATTATACTAAAATGTTTTAATTACAAATCTAAATGTAATTTTGATTGGCCACATTTTTATATATTTTTAATATCTATTAGCTGCCATAAAAAAACAAAGCACTGTCACAAGGAAGCCATTTTAGATACAGAATGACAAAGGAAAACCCATAACATTTTAAAACAAAGCAACGATACAGCTGAATACACAGTGGAAAATGTAAAAACGTGTTTCTCTCTTAATTATAAATGCAGTGCAATGCTGTTGGAATGTTATTGCATGATGGCAAAAAATTGGTTTGTCGTGAAATTGTAACTTTTAAGTGTTTTTTAGTTACAAAGAGTGCTGCAATATACTGCTCTTTGTTTCCTTTTTAACACCCAGGTAAAATGTTCACGACAAGACAATGAAGCATGAAGCACTAAATGCAAAGAGAGTATTACTTGTTTGCAGCCTTGGTGTTTTGGCTTCCCATCAGTCTTTGTGCCCGATTTCTTACAGATGGAGGCCAGAGTCAGATTACAAGGGCTGTCATCCCAGCGGCCCTCCTGCATATTTAAGCAAGACACAAACAGAAAGAGAGCACACAGCTGTTAAATATATACAAATGTCGGAGACTGGCTGTCAGTGAGATAACTTTGAGGTGATTAAGTCCCCTGACTTTGGGGGTCAGTGTGAGGGCGAGGGGGATCGACTCACAGCTCCCCAGATGGAGACGCAATCTTCCAGGGTGTTGCGGAAGTTGTTGGGTTCAAAGGGGTGCCAGTAGGTGAAGATAACGGGCGTGTGGTCAGTCCATTGGAAGTCCATTTGCATATTAGTATCATGGAGCCCTATCCACAGCTGGTCAATGTCTGACAGAAGCAAAAGAGAGAAAACATTTTACTACTGGAAAAAGGATGCACATAAGATAAGATAAAAATAAGAAAGAAGGTCAAAGAAGGAAGATAATAAGGACTGGAAAACACCTTGAAAATGCCATTTCGTGTTGATAGTATATAAGATTCAAGGCTTTATTTTCATGTGCACATTAGCTACAGTATAGATATGCCAATGAAAAACTTAAGTCACAGGCTCCTCCAACAGTGCAACATGAATATATATAGGACATAAAACAAATCAAACAGATAAAATATATATAAATAACAGGAATGTTTACTTTTTTAAATGGAAATGTATCCAAATCTATCAGAAAGTGTTCAGATTTGAAGCTGAAGAAAGCACAGCTAACACATTGGTTCATTGTTCTCCCCCTTTGTTCATTTAAACTGAAGAATATACATTAAAAGGTGTTTTGAAGTACATAAATCAGGTCACATCACCTTTCTTGAGGTTGCGTATGATGAACTCTAGCTCAGGTAGTGTGTGGATGCTGACCAGGTTGGCCTCCATCCTCTGACAACTTTTCTGAGCTGTATCCCACTCTATCTTGTCTGAATTCAGCTTGTAGCAGCCAGCCTGGAAAGCCTGCCAGCCCACATCACACTCATATTTCTCATCATCTGCCCACGAGTCTGTGGGAGCAAAAAGATGAAACCTCTCAAACTCTGGACTTAAACTGATGCATTTCACTTTAATGGACTAGTTTTAATGTCAGTACACGGACCAGTGGTGAAGGGGTCCAGGGTGGCATTGGGCCTCTTCTTACACACATATGGCAGAGCAACAGAGCATTCACGATTTTGCCAACGACCTGATGACTCAGTTCTAATCACGGCACAGTTCTCCTCCTCAGCGTGGTTTGGCTGGTCTGTAGGAAGAGAGTTAAGAAAAGAAACAGTGAAGGACTGAAAAAGTACTGGGATCACCAAAAAGAGTGTATTTGAACTCAGAGCAGTGTGTTGGTGAAAACGAGCAAACAAGCTTATTCAGCATTCTGTGGGAAATAGATGTTTAAAAAGGTCCACAGATGCTTTGAGGTTTAAAAAAAGGCAGTAAACATTGAGTTGTTTTTACAGTCTAACCTTGCTCCCAGTTGAGATATTTCAGTGGTGAGGAGTCGGCCCACTGCCAGCCTCCACTGATGTCCAGGTCATTCAGGCCAATCCACAAAGCTGCACTGTAGCCTGTCAGTAACCCTGAAACAGAAGAAAAACACCGCTCTTAATTTTTTGGAAATATGACAAAAATACGTTTTCTTTGGTGAAGAGGGACACAATGAAAGATAACACTCAATAGTGTGCTTTGATGTCCAGTCCATTCATCTCTCCAGTTATCTGTGGATTTAACTGTCAACTGTTGGGCGGACGACATGATTGTTATATGATTGACAACAGTCACAACGTCTCAGAAATCTATTATTACCGTGCACAGCAAATACAAGTAAACATGATGCTATCAACATTTTCCTTAATTGCCAAAATAGCTTATAGATTCATAATTTTAGATTATTTTTCATGTCTGTCACACAGGCAAGATAAGAAAAAAAGGCTCTATTTATAGGCTTGAAAACACAACTACTTGTTAAATACAATATGATGCTCACTGACATTCAAAAAGATGTTCATTATTACTGTCAATTTAAATACATCCTTGAAGGTTATAAACAAATAGAAAAATCTTAAAATGTCTCTCAATATATAATATCTATGCTGGTATGTCAATTCATGATACATTGTCTAACCTTTTGCTCAGTATTGATTTATTTGTACTGTATCTTTCTGAGGTTTTATATGCTAGTGTATTTTGTGTACCCAAAATAAAGCTACTATAAAACAGAAGTGGATGCCTCTGTTCACGTATGTCTTCATTTGCACATTATCTTTACCATTGATGTATGTCTGCTCATGCAGCTTGGTGATGCTAAGCAAGTCTGATCCCTGCTGCTGGCAGCTGATCCGAGCCTCGCTCCACGACAGCGTAGCCTGGAAGTTAAACTGGTAACAGCTGTCGGTCAGCGGGTCAGTGTCCCAGAAGATCTCACAGCCACTGCCTGACAGTGAGGCGAGGAGATAAGAAGGTGGTTAGGCCAAGGGAGAAAGCAGGGAAATAACAGCAAAGCAAACAGTTGGGAGAGAGGATATTGTGGTGAAGCTTGCTGAGTTTGATCAAGTTCAAAGTCATAACTCACTCTCTACGGGACAGAAGCCCCAACGCTCGTCTTTGCCGTAGTCGTGGGTGGTGGCGCACCAGAGGTGACCGTCCTCACGCCCGATGCTGGTGCAGCTGTGGAACCACTGGCCGTCATACAGGAAGGGCAGATAGCAGGGCCGTCCGTTAGAGTTGCCCTGGATTGTGTAGATCTCTGGGAACACAGACAGGAGAGACTTTGACTCCCCGCACGCAGCAGGAGCGACGTGCTCGTGTTGCCTAAAGTTATTGCTGTGAACTGTGCTGAACTGAAATACCGTATCTGTTTTCTCAAGGATTTGGATAATCAAACACACGGCGAAAAACAGAGGATGATGTTACAGTCAAAACAGTCAAGTCAAATAGTGGTCAGCGGAAGGAAGAGTAAACAAACAGAAATATGAAGGTTGTCCGGAAAATATTATTATACAAAAGGGATTAGATGTAAATATTGATGTTGCAAAGCACAATCTGTAATATATACATTAAGCTGTCTTTGGCTCTTTTCTGCTTTAACAAATGTAAATTTCCCCTCTGTGGGACGAATAAAGGTATTCTGATTCTGATTCTGAAAATCCCCAGGTCTGGTTTGGAGAAAAGAGCAAAGCAAAGAAAGAAAGGGAGAGGCTGGATCTGTAGTTACCAGAACATGTTAAACCAATGGAAAGTATGGCAGACATACGAGGGGGGACAGATTTCTGAAACTCCCTCTCCGCTGCTGGCTGGCTGCAGCGGAGTCGCTCCTCTGCTGACTAATGGCAGAGGCATTCCTCTCCAGCAGCGAGTTGACTTTACAGAGAAATGTGTGAAGATCGGCAATAGAAAGCCACACATGAGTGAAAGAGTTTGAGAAGAGGTCGGATAAAGAAGAAAGTAACAGGAGATTTTGTGGTCTTCCATCACAGTTTGTCAATTAACAACCTGGGACATTTGATATCGGTAAGAATGGTATACTGACAGCGGAAATGAGGCTTAGCAGTAAATCACCACGGCTAGATTTAATCTGGACTGAAAACTATATATAAATACAAATAAAGTTGAGGGCAAGGACAGCTCTGTGTTTACTGCGAGTTTACAAACACCAGCTATGTTTTCCTTGGCTTTGTGACTGGCAGTCAGCCACTTGTCCTCAAAGATGCCCTAGAAGCAACATTTTGAACAGATCCATTTGATCAGATACAGCTGTGGCCTTCACAACAGTAAGTCTATCTTCCTCACTCAGCGGCCAAACAGAAGAGGAGCTGAATCACCACAGCTGGGAAGTGAGGGGCGTCGGTCGGTTTAATAGAGAAAGATGTGTACACCTCGAATGGATGCTCCAGTGTGATCTCATTTCTTAATTTGGTATGGATTTTACTTGTTTTTTTATTTATGTATTTGTTTATGAATTTTTTCTTTATTTCTATATATGTTCAAATACATATATTTTAAAGTATATCTATATATTTTATTGGTCCTTAGAGTAGTCATAGAGGATATTTTTTCAAGCTAAGGTTTTTTAAGCCTACCCTTTTTCTACATAATCTAATAGGCAATTCTTACAGTATTACGTTTTCACAAACAGAGGCAAAAACAGATCTCTACATGCTTCATGTCAAATATTATTTAAATCTCAGTTGTTTATGTGTTCACCACATAATTGTTAACTTTAGCAATTGAATTACTTAGCAATCTCTTTTTTCTTTGGTTCAAAAATCAATACAAATGTTTATTGTTTATTGTATTATCCGTATTATGTGTTAACGATTAACAATGTTAAAAAAATAAAGCTATTTTAAAAGGAATTAGTGAGTGTAGTTGTCCATGTTTAGGTGTCTGAAGAATCCTTCTTATGCAAATTGAAATTGCATTTGATTATAAGCATGCTTACCACGATGTGTTTTGGAGCACAGGTCCTCTACCCCACCATGCATGGTCCACTTGAGCTTTGAAGGGGGGGCGGTTGAGGAGGAGTTCCAAAATGAGGGTGAGGGAAGATAGATGTTGAGGTTGTCCAACACCTGGCCACAGTTCCAGGTCCAGCGTATTCTGGGGGGCTCGTGGTCACAGGTGTACACGCCCAGAGGAGACCTGTCCGATCTGGAGCTGGCGTTACCCGTGGTTACTCCCAGGCACAGCGAGGAGCCCAGGTTGAACAGGCGACCCCGGGTCACCCACTTCCAGCGCTGGTTGTCTTCCTCACAGGAGGATGCCAGGACGAGGGAGTGATCCCGCACCCCCAGGCACCCCTGGGCGCCCTCATGGAAGAAAGCGAAATCGTCAGAGTCCAGCGGCGCTGTGCAGAGAGAGGAAAACAATGGCATCAGTCAATAACGCTGATGAAAGCAACATTCCGTGTTAGCAGCAAATGTGGCAGAGAAGAGGTCAGCAGCTGGATCAATATCTCCATTAATGGCTGCAGTGCTGGGTCAGGACTAGTTTGAGATTCGCCCTCTGATGTTCCTGCGTAATACACTTCAGTCAGTGGTATTAATAATAATAATAATCTTGTAATAACCGTAAATCCCTGAGCTTTCAGTAGGGAGAGATTGCAGAAATGTCATGCAATAAACTGTGAAAAGTGGTTACACATGTTTTTAATGCAAGGTTGGCAATCAGGGTTGAATCAACATGTACCGTGTTTCAAGAATTACCCCCATTACCCAACACTGACCTGGCCTTGCCTCTCATTGCATTGTGTGGTGTCTATTTATGTTGGGTTTGACTATGCAGTTTTGGGAGACACATAATATAAAAGGTCTTTATCATAAAAAGCTGTTAGGTGATACAATGACCAAAAATTACTTTATGTTTTGACAGTTCTCAACTTGAGTAAATTGATGAAACTGTAATTATCCCCAGGGGAGAAATGGCTGTTTTCATTCTGCTGACTTCTCACTGCTGTACACTGTTGACACAACTTCAATGTGATTCTCATAGGAGCTATGGTTTACTACAAGCTGTTAACCTAAAGTTTTGCAGTATTCTCAAATACTCATATGCTACACAAAAATATCAAATAGAAACTAAATGTTACCAGAAAACTGAGTCATGGAAAAAAGTGTTGAACTTAACACATTCAGAGCAGTGGCTGGGCGCAAGCCTCAGTGACTGGAAGTCTGCAACACCCTTTCTCAAAAATATATGTGGTTTTCCTTCATTCCTTTGTGATATTTCTTTGTGAAGGATTTAGAGATTGGTAACCAGAGGCCATAATTGTGAAGATAATGGTGCGAGGTAGTGAGTCTGTGTGAAGTTGGTAAACAGAGAGGCAAATCAGGAGTGTAGGAGTGATTCTAAATTAAGGTTGTGCTAAAAGGATTTAAAGGAATATGCCTTCACATAAATCCTTTCTCTAAGACCTGAGAATCAGAGAAGAAAAAAAACGAGACCTACAGCATTCCTTCTCGCCGGGCTCCTGTGAGAGGCCAGGAAGTGGGGAAGGTAGGAAAAGATCACTGTGCATTTGGTTGAAAAACATAACTCTCCTATGTGTGGAAACTTCACTCCACTCAGTCTGCGGCACTCTCTTGTTTCCTACTTCTACTCAAACACTCAAAACCTCCTGTGCTGCTTTTATAGACACAAAGACAATGGAGTCCCATCAAGAGCCCCCCCATAAAACGCCCTGTAATCTGGAGGACACGGTAGACACGCCTCTCTCCTCGCTCTCCAGCCTCTGCGGTTGAGTTTCTCAGAAGCAGTGTTAGCTCTTTTGGTCGGTAGCAAAGCAGAAAGAGAGCGCAGTGGGAGAGTGGTTTAGCATACGTTTGAAAGTGCTCTTTACGGTTAATCAGATATAATTACCACCACCATGTTCTTTTTATAACTCCATATAGCTTACAGTAACACCCAGCTGGTCGGCTTGTTTACTGCCTGTTCATTGTTTTGATTGTTAAAGATTCAAATCTGTTCACACAACATCTCAGGAGAGTTAAACATATATCCAAACACTAGTTCAGTTATCAAAAAACATCTCAGTTGGTCTTCATTTTCCAGCAGTATGATCTTTGAGTGACTCCTCGATCAAACGTCAGCTAAATCAGCAAAAACCGGTGGAAAATCACTGTCTGGTGAATCCATTAAAATTGGAAGCTATTTTATAAAAAGAAGAAAAAGAGCATTATATTTTTGGAATTAAAAGTGAATAACTAGTCATTATTTTTGGAACTTCTGTTTAAAAAGTCATGTAACAGATGAATCAACTATTAAAAAGATGGAATCCCTTTGTGCCTTGTCCTCAGTTCTCTGCTGTAATTTGTTTCTACTATACAATTAAAACAGGGGTGTCAAACTCAAGGCCCGGGGGCCAAATCCGGCCCGCGACTTCATTTTATGTGGCCCCACAAGAGCTTGCAAAGAATATAATATGTTTATTATACGGTTACAGTACATGCCACTTTACAGAAGCACGTTGCCCATAAACGACATGTCCCACAATGCATCTCAAATTTGACTTTTTCTCAGAATTTGACTTTTTTTGTCCAAATATGCCTTTTTTCTTAGAATTAGCCTTTTTCTCATAAATAGATTTTTGTTTCAAAATGTCACTTCTCTTTTTCAAAATGTCACTTCTCTTTTTCAAAATGTCACAATCAAAATCATATTGTGACATTCTTACTGAAGAGACTTGCAATTATTTGCCCTAGACTTCTGCTTTCAGACGTAGTTAATTATGAAGTTATATTAATTAATTATTTCGTCTTAAAGTTACAACCGGCCCTTTGAGTGCAACCATAATGCTGATGTGGCCCGTGATGAAATTGAGTTTGACACCCCTGAATTAAAATGATGTCTTCCACAATAGACAAATAACGTTATTAACTAAGCTCAGGATGTACGTACACCTACTTGAATAGCTGGAGTTACACAACACTGACTTGTTAACAAATGTGCCAACATATCGGTCGTATGACATTTTGTCCTTTTCACTACGGGAATTAAAGCTTTAAAAAAGAAATACATCAGTGTCAGCTCTAACGTGCCTGTAAGAAGATTCCAACACTGGTACCAGCCCAGCCTTACAGAGAGTGTTAAATGAACTCCTATATATGAATGTAAGCTCAGTATTCATATTTGAATATATAAGAAGTTCCTGGCAAAAGCTTTTGAACCACTATAGACAACCTGAAGCTGCAGATCCTGACAGCAAGAAGCAAATTCAAAAATAACTTTTAATTCCAGTCTGGAGGGCACACAACTGGATGTTTGATGTGCGAAAACTCCCGGGCACTCAGAGAGAGAGAGAGCAGAATTCCAGATTTACTTTAAGCCATTGAGCCCTGTGAAAGCTAAGCCACAACAGCTCTCCTGCTGTGATCTCATCCTCTTCTTTGCCCTGTCACACCTTTTTTTCAATGTTGGAGACAGTTTCCTGCTGAAGAAAGAGGCTGAATCTCACAGCCAAGGACATGCGCCAGTAGAGGCACGTATTCCCAGAACCTCCGCCTCCACTATGGGGTCATCTGCTGGACCAGATTTGAGCACAATACTTGCAAACGTGGGTGAAGGCTCAAAAGCAAATTTCGACATGAAACCATACAAGTTCAACAAACTTCTCGAGATCACATTGTTTGGTAGAGTGTGACTCATTGCTGTTGCCAAATAGTTACCACAACATAGCCTATTTTTCAAATGTGTTGTTCGTGAGATTGTATATTAAGATCTAGATTGACATTCAAGCAGGCTTTTCCCGTAACCTCTCCATATTTTGACAGATGTCTGCGATAAAAAAAACAGGCCTTTAACTGGCCAGTGTGATATAATGTAATCAACAAATAGCCAGGAAATTCCAGCCTGCTGTGTTTGTTTCTTTGGTGTTTTATGGTGGTCTGGCCTCTGAAGCAACCCAAACTGTGGATAGGTTTAACCTCATCCAAGAACCTTGGCAGAGGAGAGAAAGAGAGGGCTATCTGGAGAGAGAAGGGTATGCATCTCTCAGCCACATTCACAAACGGAGCGAACTGGAACCTCTAGCAAAGTGTGTTTGAAATGTAGAAACATACGTGAAAAAAGGTGCAATCTGTCACCAAGGTAAGGACTGTGACACAAGATTTTCATCGACATAACTACACTGTAGCTATGTTCGTTTGACAAATAAAGAACCTTGAACCTTGAACCTTGAACCTTGATTTATAAAGATAAATGATCTAATCATTTCTGAAAGGTGTTTAGTGTAAGATCAATAACAGTGTTTCTCGTGAGTTTGACACCAGAAACCACCACAGAGCATTAAACTCATTTAGAATGACATTGAACAAAATATGAGAGTTCAATAATAAAAGGCTAAGATGTTTAACGTTTAACTGGCTGAAAATTGCGCAAACAATAAAAATAACAAATCCAAAAACACATTTCATAAAATAAATCCACAAAGACTATTTCCCCTTCGATCCTTCTGCAGCTCGTCCAGTGGTGCAAAGAATTGAAGAGGGATTGTTAACTTTGGCAACAGGGGAATTTGATGGCATATAGGCAGAATTAGTTTCAAAATAAAGCAGTTAAACATCGTGAAAAAGAGCTCCAGCTTGTTTAGGATGTGTATATAGCAGGAGCCAATTTTGTAGGGAAAAGAGTGTAAAAAGTGGAAGTGTAAACCAATCTTAGTATCTCCATGTAACTTCAAGATCAAAGTAAGAGTACATCATAGGACTGCAGCAAACAATTAATTTCATTATCGATTAATCTGCCTATTGTATTCTAAATTAATTGATTAATTGGTTGGACTATAAAATGTCAGAAAGTGGTACAAAAAAATGTAAGGTTATGTCTTTAAATAAATAGAAAAAAGTGATATTCAGTCTAATTTGACAAAAGAAGATAAATAATTGCAACATTTATATTAGAGAAGCTGAAGCATTTGCAACAAATGTGCATGAAAATGTAAGATTAAAGGAAAAAATGAAAATTTATTGTGTTGGTGAATAAGAGAACATACTTTATGGTAGCCTATTTTGCCCAGAGTTTAACGTATTTATGCTCAAATTACTTAATACTGACAATATAGTCCAACAAACAATATCATGATGCAACCCATCTTGAAGTTGCACAATTCACTGTATAATAATAATAACATCACAGAGAGCTTATTCAAGTTATAACACATTGAAAACAAGCCTGAACACTGGAAAAAATAAATACGAGATGAAAAATAACAACAACACTTTAAAAAAGAAAGAAAGTATAATCTATGTGTTAGAAGACATTGTGTGGTTGGTTGTACTCTCCAAAGCATCCCATAACATGTAATGGTGTAGTAGCTGCTCAGGGCCGGCTCAATGTGTTAATTGCAGCCTGTAACCGGATGAAAAGGTCACATCTGCCCGCAGGGTGCCAAACCAAGCGTCACCCCTTATAATGTAGCCTAAAGAAAAACACCACCCGGCACGAAAATAGAACAAACAAAGCAATGTGTGCGTTGTTTTGCGGCTTTACATAAACGTATATATAAATAGAAATCACAATAGAGACAGTAAGCCAGCAGCCCCTTCCCTCCTCCCTCCGTTTTTCTGCACATCTGGTTCCACTCACTGCTCGGACTTTTGGTTCGTGGCATACCGAAGCACTAACTGCAGAATGCGCAGAAATTATGTTTATGTGTCGGCTTTCTAACGCATTTCCTAACTGTAAGTCGTTACCAAAAATAGAAAGCATGCACAACAGGTAACACGTCGACTTGGTTTCTCGACTTTTACATCACTGGAATTAAGCGAAAGTTGATATTTTGCTCACCAGTGACGCTCCTCTTCAGTTCCAGACTAAAGATGAATAAATATAAAGTGCATTTGTAAAATAAAAGTTGCCAATTTGTCCATGTTCTCCTTGATTCCTTGGTTCGGTGACGTCCGTTGCCTTGCATGCTCACAACTGCAACCCACGAACACACACGCTGCAAAAAAAACGTCCCAAGAAAAAAAGTGATCCGGAGCAGGACTGCCCCAGTGTCTGACTCTGATGTGATGCAGGGACGGAGAGGAGTCTGACCGCTAGAGCTCCGTCTGCCTCAGTCAGAGGAGAGTGAGATGAATGGAGCAGCGTCAACAACGTGTGCGCGCGCGTGTGTGTGTGTTTCCCAACATGTGGTCCGGGGACCTCCAGGAGCCTGATAGAACCCCCAATAGCATCCGAGGACTGGTGTCAGGGAGAAAACAACACCAACTTGAGAAAAAAGTCTTTAAGAATCCGACAAAACCATTCTGAAAATAAGCTAATCTTGGCTGTCGGAAAAAATATATTAAAATACAACTAAATGAAACAAATACAGTATAACGATGAACAAAAATCACATGTCAAATCTGATTCTGATATTTGAAAATGTCCGAAATCCATTCTGGACATAATTATTATTATTTTAAGTATATATTATGTTCAGTCTTTTGCACAAAAACATTTCTATAACATTTCTGTTTCTTTACTCATGTGTCTTTTTGGCACACAAGTCGGGCACATAGTCTGCTGACCCCTGGCCCAGCTGACAATTTTAGAGACCTGGAGGATTATCTCTGGCAGAGAAAGAACCAGAGCTGTACCAAATGTTTGGCCTCACCCCAAGTATGGATATGGACTCACCCTGAGATGCTGAAGGCTGTGGACATTATTTAAACATTATCCAGGCATCACACTCCTCTGCCTCTCTTGGAAAGCTAGTATGATGGTGCTTGAAGGGAGGATGTGAATCAAACATAAATTGGTATATCAAAGTGTATATTTCAGTCAAAGCTTATGTTTGGATTGATTTTGAAAACGTAATAAAGGTTTATCCTTACAACATTAACATACAGTTTGAGAAACTTCAAATTGTATCAATTAAATATCTTTGTACCCATCACTTCATACCTGGGCCTTTTCTTCTTTGACGCCTAATGAAACTGCTGTAAAATCGTCATAAAATCGATAATTGTTGAATCTTTTCAACGGCAACAAAACATGTCTTCACTTCGTAAACTGTACAGCGAAATGGGTGGCGTAGTTTTGCAGGATGTCCGGCATCACTCTATTGACAATTCTCTGACCAACTGTGGACAGCAGTTTCTTGGAACCAGGGTGATATCATGTACTATCCACCAGGCAAGTGCAGAGGATGGTGGTGGAGCAGAGGCCTAAATATATAAAAGGGCAAGTTGGCAATTTTTGTTACTTTCAAATAAATATATGCCTGTAATAACTACTTTTGTGACAGCTTTAATGGATAATAAAATGTGTGTTTTTCAAACAAAAATGGGGTTGGTTCAAACACTGCTACATCCCAGTTAATGAATGATACATGCGAAGAAATGAAGTATATTTCGGTAAATTCTTCTCGCATGTCCTCCATATTTCTCAGGCGTCAGGCACAATGCTCCTGTAATGACAGGCAATAAGAAGATGTTGATATTGTACGGCTAAGATACTGCTACTATGTGCCAAATAATTTGTTTAATATAATTCACATATCGATAATTGATTTGTTAAAAAAAAGGGCACTTTCCTAACAGGAGGGCAAAAGGGCAGGTGCTGATGTCTATCTGTGCACGTGCCTGGATCTGACCAATCACCAGAACCCAGTTTCAGGAGGAGCAGTGCAGTCTGCCCTGGTCGTGCAGCAGTGGAGGATTGGTAGGGCGTCAGTAGTGCTTCGGTAGGAGGGAGCTGAGTCTGAAAGCAAGGCTTTGATTTCCTAGTCAATCTATTTTTGAACTTTATCCATGATCTTGAGCTTTGCATAGGGACTGAACGAATAAGATTGTAAGCAGCTGTAACTATTCACCCTTTGAGATAAAGCCATGAGCTCAGATATCCAGAGGGAGCTCAAATAAGAACCGGTGCTCCTCTGGGTCATTAGGAGACAGGTCTCAGTGAGGTGAGTGAGCGTGTGCATTCTATTGAAAGATTTGTGGGCAGGACTGGTAGAAGAGCTCATGGTACACCCAGAACACGCTGAATGTATGGTATATCTTATCTGGATTAGGAACACATCAGGATCCCTCGGGAGGAGCTGGAACAGGTTGCGATGAAAGAACATGGAAGAGTATGTCAAGAAACAAAGCAACTTAGCCTCCATACATAAAATCAATATTTGGTGTTTCTCCCAGAGAATTCAGGCACAAATTACATTCAATTTGAGGCCATTGGTTCTAAATTGAAATATTGCAACTCATTGGACTTAGGGTTGAACCAAAATGCAATCCTGCTCCACCATCTGGTCCAAAACACAGCTGTTCGTATTTTAGAAATGGGACAGGTCACAAAATCCACCCCGTTTTAGCCTCTCTTTACTGGTTAGAATTATTTTTCTGATCAACCTTAAAGCCTTTCATGGTTCGGGCCTATGTTAAGTCTAAAGGTAAGTGTTTTTTGTGGGCCCCTCAGCTCTGGAACATCCTGCTTGAGGGCCAGAGGCTTGCAAAATCCGTGACATCTTTCAAATTCCTTCTCTTATCCTTTGGCTACAGCCTCTGATTATTTAAGCTGTTATATTTTCAACATTGCTAGTTATTTGCCTATGTTCTGAATAGTTTTAGAGCAATTTGTTATTAATGTGGCATTAAAGTCCAAGTTTACAGTCAATTTGAATTGTTTCATCCATGTAGTCACTAATGACTAGAGCTGCTTCATTATGGAAGAAATTCCAATTCCAATTATTTTGGTTTGAACAGAGATCACAAATTATTTTATATAATTACCCTTACTCATTGACGTTGGAAACTATACATTATGTACATTATAAAGTTAAATACATCGCTCTAGTGCACTTTAAGAGCAAAATTAAGAGGCTAAAGATCTATGAAGAACTTTGTGCTCTATGGAACAATTTAATTTGAAACACATTGTATACTGTAGATATGAATGGTGATGACACGGGAGAAATGTCACCCCCACAAAGCATGGAAAACAAGGCAGGGTCCGTGTTGCGCCTCAGACCACCATCTGCCCCACTAGACAGTTGTGCCGGGGGCAGGAGACCCAATCCATCCTAAACAGGGAGGGCAAAGTTAGTACCAAGTCCTCCAAGGCTCCCAGGAGGAGACATCAGGCGAGGAGTGGTGCACCTCAGCAGAGCGTTTCCGCAAAACAGATCATTTGAAGCCAAAGTTGTAATTGAAAATTAAATTCAAATAACCGAACAGTGCTAATAAAAATATATTTAGTTTATACTCTGAAAAGTCAAAAACAAAATATGAGTACAGACATAATAAGCTAATATGAATTTAGCTGTGTAAATAGTAGGTATTCCTTGAAAGAAAGTGGTGAGGGTCAAGGAAGTCAGAAGCCCAGAACAACAAACCCATTTTAACCAATAGTATTTAATGGTTTATGCAATTCTCTGCTAAGGCCCAATCTCCCCCAAAAGAATTATTAGGTAAACCAGTCCCTTGCATTTTATTGGCCAAAAATAAATTCAAACATACCTAAATAAATATGTGTGTTTATGATAGGGGGTCAGTCAAAAACAATAACAGTTCTAATTAAAAGGCAACTTGAAAAACACAACAGTTTTATCCATAAAACTGCTTAAATTGAAAAGTCCTTTTAAAAAAAATGCAAAAGGGGTCACTTTTGAACAGCTTCCACTTCATATCAAGTAACACAACTCTAAAACCATTCATTATAAAAACGGAGGTGGAACACTGCCACCAGCTGGAAGTTATAAGCTTTGGTCACAGGCGTTTGACGAGGAGAGGGGAGAGGGGACGGGGAATCGTAGCGTCTGCCCATCCTCGTCACAACATTTCTGGGTCTGGAATTTAAGCGGGGCAGGGGGTCCCAGAACAGCAGGTTGGGTGACATTGTGCCATAGATATTTAGGGTTCAATACAATAAACAGGCCAGGCTGGTTCTCTCAGTTCAGGGAGATGAGAACAAACCAAATGTTTGAGCGGGGGGGATGTAAGACTACCGCGGAGCAGCATGGCTCATGCATGGGTGTATGTGTGAGTGCCTCCCACAGTCCTTTCCATCTGGACAAGCTGAAGCAGTTCTATACTTCTTTTTACTTTCTTATTTTTTAAAGCAGAAAAGAAAATTCCCAAACACTGAACCCCATTTTTTACCAACACAGTGCCAAACCTCACCCCTTACTGCGCAAGTGGTCCAGGGCTTTGACCCCCAGAACAATGCCACCCTTTAATGAAAGGAGGACAGGCAGGCTGATGGGTGGGTGAGAGGGGTGAAGGGTGACGGAGGTCTGCCTTCCCAACCCTGAACATAACTTCTCACCCACCCCTCGCCTGGTCTGACCTGTTTCTCTTTCTCTTCATGGCAAGGTGGTTTGCTGTCCGGAAGGGGGACACAATATGGCGTCGCCCCTACCCTACCCCACTCTTTTAAATGGTTCAGTCAATCAGTTAAGGGGGGCGGTCTCAGTTTGAGGCGCTGCTGTTGGAGGAGCTGGATGTGGAGGCCACGGCCATGCCCGAGGTGCCCGAGGAGGCCACTGACTTGCGGATGTGGGGCATGAGGAAGGGGTCGCTGGACAGCTGGTGCACATCGATGCGGTCCTCCTTACGGTAGATTAGACATCGCCTTATAAAGGCCTGGAGGAAGAAAGAATGAGATTGGAATTCTTAAGTACATATATCAGACTTTGTGATATTTTGGTAAGGATAGGAAATTCTTAAATGTAAAGATCCAGATACATACGAAATAATATAAAGAGAGAAAGAGGGTAGGAGGATGTTTTGGGATTTGAAGATGCATAGATGTGAGGTAAACATTAGATAGTGAGGCGAGAGAGTGTAGTACCTTAGCTTCAGGTGTGACTACTGGTTTAGGGGGAAACTGCACATCTGTTGCCTTCAATATGGTATTCTCCTGTAGGATGTCCTGCTGGGACTGGTTGTGGCCAAAGGGCTTAAGAAAAAGAAGACATTTACATACGATTAAAATAAAATGAATGTAACCAAGGGAAATGAACCCCATTGCATTTTATTTAACCGACTTCATAGTTTAAACTCTTGAACTGTACTTTCTTCAGTGTGTGTCTCTTACCTTGCGGCCATACAAACACTGGTAGAAAAT